TCCTCATTGGGAGCATGGAGTCCCAGCCACACTGGACCACTGGGGAAGTCCCTCCCCAACCTTTTATATTGAAAAAAATTCAAAATTGCAGAAAAGTTGCTAGAATAATATAATGAACAAATGTATGTCCTTCATTTAGATTCACCAGTTAACATTTTGCTACCTTTACTTTATAGGAATATATAAACACACACCCCTGAACAACTTGAGATTTAGTTGAACTCATTATATTTTGTTTTTTGCATTTCACCCTTACTTACATATGTATTCAATAGGATCTTGCTCTCTTCAGTCACACTACAAGATTGCTCTCAGAAAACTTAAACTTAATACAGATGTATTATCTAATTTCATATGCAAAGCTTTCCTGTTGTCCCAATTACATCCTTTATAGTTATATTTTTAATCAACCATTGCGTGTTACATTTGTCAGATCTCTTTCATGTCCTTTAATCAGGACAGTTCCCACAACTTTTGTTGTCTTTTGTGATACTGACATTTGTGAAGAGTCTAGACCAGTTGATTTGTAGAATACCCCTTAGTTTTGATATATTGATTGTTTCCTTTTGACGTGTTTTGTGTTAAACATTTTTCCCAGAGTTTGGTGGCGCTCTGTCTCTTGTGGGGTATCACATCGTAAGAGGACACAGCATCAGCTTGTCCTGTCCCTGAGGCAAGTTTGATCACTTGGTAAGGGTGTTGTCCAACCGATTTCTTCTTTGTAAAGATACTTTCCCCTTTGTAATCAATGAATCATCTTTGTCAGGAAGTCCTTTACCTCTTGAATCCAAAGCTTGTTCCACTAGAGCTTTAACCTGAAGGAATGAGGTCCAGTGAGGCTAGGAGGTTGGTCTCATTGTTAATGGGGAAAGGAACAAGTGGGGAGTCAGAAACATCTTACCCACACTTGCCTTTGGTTATAGCTGGACTCTTATCCAGCTGCAGAATGGAATGCCCTGAGGCTGTTGTACAGGTTTCCTTCCCATTCATTCATGAATTCAACACATCCTTCTGTAGCCCCTGCGCTGGGCACTGTGCTAGCACTGAAGGCACAGTGGAAAAGGGGATATGGCAGTGAACAAGGCAGACAGAGTTACTGCCCTCGTGGAGCTTACTGTCTACCAAAGTAGGTAGTCCAAAAGGAAGGCAGGAGTTATTTACAAATTGTATTAAAGCACAATGAAAGAAGTAAGCAACATGCTGAGACTGAGGGGTATTTAAGCTGAGACCTAAAGAAGGAGGAATCAGCCATGTGTGGTGTGAAGGAGCATTGAACAAGAGAGGAGAATGCCAGAAGAGGGAAAGCACGTGAGGGGACGAGCTTCTTAAGCCTGCAAGGAACATGGAATACTCAGGACCCAGAAGGCAGCCAAATGCCTGGAGCCTCTGGGGTTGAGTTCCAAGGTAAAGGAGCTGTAGTATGCGGGGCCCAGATCATGGGAGGCCTTGTGGACCCTTATAAAGAGTATTAGGAGTATTTAGCTTTCTTGTAACAAATTCTTCTTTCAAAGATACACCTGACACCAAATTGCATTTTATGGCAGCCTTAATATAAGTCTACAGGGGCTGTCTGTACATTGTGGGTCTGAAGGTGTGAATTTACCAGTGGTTTTATACTCTGAAAAAGAGCTCACGATATTGCTACCCAGTTATGTGACCACCGCAGGGTGGAATAGAATTCATAGTCCTGGAGAAATCCCTGTGCCCGTAATTAAGTTCTGCTCCTCATTTGTAAGACATGGGATACACACAGCCTTTCCAAGTATAGGGCCCTGCCGGTGTGAGGATTGAGTTTGGATTAGAGAGGACACTTTGCCGTGGGAGCCTTGTTACACAACAGAAAGGCTGGGAGGTTTGAAGGAGTGGGAGGAATGTACATGCAGAGGCTGTGGAGGAAGACTTGGACATGGCACTAGAAGGCTTCTGATGGTGGGGAGGTGCAGTGGAGGGTGTGAGGACATGTCCGTGTGTCCGTAAGGGAGGGAAGGGCCCAGATGGTGTGTGCTGGAAGGAGCAGTGTGAAAGGGACAGAGACATGAAGAAGGAGCAGCATACACGGTGCTGGGCTTCAGGGCCCTGCCTCCATCTGCGGGGCGAGCTGTGTGCGGGGAGGAAGCGTCTTCTCTCCCGGCCTGTGCTGGGTGTACTCAAGCCATTTTCCTGGATACCCTAAGGTTAATCAGATCCTAAGAAGGGCTCTGCTTGTCACGAACTGGCTATATCTCTCATATTACCGACAGCTGTAAAGAACATATTAATATTAAGAGAAGCCCTACCCACTAATGTTATTGCCTTGGTTCCCAAACAATTAACATCCACCTTCCAACCCAAACATAGCTGGGCTTGGCCCATGTTCAGGCTTCGGCAGTGTTATTGTTTGCACTTCACACGCTATGTTCTTGGTGTCCTTCCTTTGGAGTTTATTTTATTCCCTCTGCCTGTTTCTGATAAGCCAGTCTGCCTGTTGGACTTTGTGAGTAAATGTTGCAAAGGAACATTTTGTGGTGCTGGCATATACCTTTCAGAGATAGAGAGTAGAGTACAGTGAAGTCCTGGACTCCATGACTGGTAGACTGAACAGAGAGAATTCCTGGCCAGATCTTTCCCTGGGCTACAAAATGTGCCAGTTTATCAGGGCCCCTGCCCCTGGTACAAATCAGTGAAATGTAATAGACACGGTTTCCGGCTGCAGCAGCCAGCCATCCAGAGTGGGGTAGGCTCTCCTCCTGCTGTTACCATCAGTCTTGTACCTCTAAGAACTGTGAGGAGAAAGCAGCAAATGCTCAGCCTGCCCCCGGAGAGCCCTCAAAACCAGAGAGGAGGCACCTGCACGTGTAGCACAAGACCTTGTTCCAGAAAGAAAGTTTGATTAGTGGAGTGGCAGGCACAAGATGCACTGCCCTGACCTGTTTCAGATTCACCAGAAAGGGAATAAGTAGTTAAAGAACTGCACAGACTGGAGGGAAAGCTCGCCTTGCGTGACTCTGCAGGTGAAGAGGATGTTTGAAGTAGGCAGGTGCGTGACTTGTCTGACAGGTTTAGGGTTGTTAGTGTCTTAGGATTTCTGAGAATTCATTCAGCTTTTTCACACTGCTATCAGTGGTTCCCAATTAGTCCTGATAATATGTGCATGTCTGAAGCCGACCATAAAAACTGGCTGTTTAATCAGCTCTTGACATGCAATCAGGCTACAGCCCCCAGCATCGGCATCTGGGGTATCAACGGCTCACATTTCAGAAGGGGCAAGGGGTGAGGCTCAGCTCACTGCCTGTCATGTCTGCCTCTAGCAGGATTAGGACTCAGACAGGTGGAGGAGCTCAGCTAACCAACAAGATAGTGTTCATTTTGACATGGACATGGCTTTTATTATTACATTATTATTTTGCCTTTCCTTGAGAGAAAACAGACGTGGGTACTGTAAGTTCAGTCTTTATGCTTGGGTTTCTGTTGTTAAAATGTATAGCCACAGCCTGATTCTCTGTGGTTTTAGAGATCTATGTAGGCAGGACTGGATAACTGATAGAATTCTCCTGAAGTTGTCAGTGAGGAAGAGAAATTTTTCTATACAGGGCTCTGGATGGTGATGAACTTTCTGATGAAAAGTTCTGCCTTAGAGTTCAGCCACACAAGAAATGGTAGATTTGCATCATTTATACGTTTGAGTACCTAAGGAAATCTTGCCTCTGTTGGTAAATAAATACAGCTGAGATGACAGAACTGAGGTGGGGGTCGAGGAAGGAAAAGGCTTATTTCCCTACTTTGAGGGGTTTACAGTCTCGTACCGATGAGGACACAGGATCTAACAAGGCACCCGAGGGACTTCCTGCGGGTCCAGTGGTTAAGACTCCACACGTCCAATCTAGGGACCCCAGAGTACATCCCTGGTGAAGGAACTAGATCCCACATGCCAGCAGCCAAATAAATTTTTAAAGTGATGCGGGGGCATGTGATCCATCCAGACAAAACTAGATATATGCAAAATCCCTTGATAACTTGCTGATTGGAACCAGTGAGCCCAGGGCTCACTGCAGAGAGTTTGCTCCCTTGGGGCCAGTCCAGTGGCTTTAACCTTTGTAAGGTGGCATTGGATGTCAAGGCAAAAGATCACAATTTTTGACTTTGCTGTTTCTTTCCTGTCTTGGTTCTGGGCTCTGAAACAGCACCTTGCTGCTAGACATGTAATGCTATAGACTTCTTCAAGTGTATTGAGCTGCTGAAGACTTTGACCTTGTAAAACCAAGTGTTTTTGATGGTGTACTTTCAGTGACTGTGATTCTCCCTAACCTTTATAGAGTTGCAGTTTGTTTATGGTGAGTAAAAGATTTCTTCTGAGTAGCTTAAAGCAAACCATAGTTACTTTACATGTACTCTTTCTCTTTGCTAAGAGTTTTAGGTTACAGTCACTCAGAGTGGGGAGAAAACAACAAATTATTTGAGAATGCAAGTTTTTAGTTAAATTTCTTTGGCCAAACGGAAGGGCTAAGTAGAGGAGAGTAGGAGGAAGAGGATGTGGGGAGCAGGTGGGATGAACAGGTCATCCTGCCTGAAAATTGAATAGCGGGGACCAGAGGATCAGGAGGGTTAGCTAGTGTCTGTTCCACTCTAGGCAAGAATAAGGGGTCTGCTTATGAGGAAAACCTCACAGCCAGGAGTGGCATTTCCCCTACTTTGAGAAAAGCATGTTTTAATGTGGTTGGCAGTCTTTTCTTGATAGTACCAGGTACATGTTTGTGGATTTGGCCTTCATGGTCTAAAGCTAAACTTGTAAGAGAGGTTAGGTTCACCCCCACTCTGTGGTAGCCTGAACAAGTTGTTACGTAGTTCCATATCCACTGCTTGAGCTCTGGAGAGCTGCATAGCTTACCTTTGTCTTGGACTATGCAGATGGGCTGAAGAGGGTCAGTCTTAAAGTCTTGGCTTTCACAGATCAACTCCACCATTTGAAGAACTGGTTTCCTGTAATCACTTTGCCTTTTTTCTCACCTCCTTTCGAACTGCAGACTCTGGCCTGGTTGTCCCAAGTATTTCCTACGAGCTGCATAAAAAGCTGTTGGCTGTGGCTGAGAAGCATGGCTTGACTCTGGAGCGGAGACTGGAGATGACAGGCGTGTGTGCCAGTCAGATGGCGTTGACCCTGCTCGGAGGACCCAACAGGTAAATGCCCCCAGCTGGGTGGGGGCTGAGTGTGGGATGACGCTGCTCTGCTTTGGCACCACTATGGTGCCTCACACACACAGGGGTTCCGTTGCTGCTCCTCTAACGTGAGTCTCTGTGAAGTCACTTTCCTGGACGCTACGCAGCTTTTGTTTGCCATTCTCACCCCTGTCCTGGGAGTGTTCATTATTCTCCCAATGCTTATGCATGCTCAGTCATGTCTGACTCTTTGTGACTGCATGGACTATAGCCCCCTCTCCGGCTCCTCTGTCCATGGATATTCTCCAGGCAAAAATACTGGAGTGGCTTGCCATGCCCTCCTCCAGGGGATCTTCCCAACCCAGGGATTGACCCACATCTCTTATGCCTCCTGCATTGTTGGCAGGTGGATTTTTTACCACTAGCACCACCTGGGAAGCCTCTTCTTCAACAAACCACTCTTTGATTCTTCCTTTCTGGTCGCTGTTGACTCTAAGACTCCTGCCAACTACCAGAGGCTTGCCTTCTAAGAACCTCCAGAGTCCCAGTTTTGGTACAGCTGAGTGATAGGGAACTCAGACAGTACAGCTGAGGGCACTTCAGTAATGCTATGGCATGATTAGTTTTGTGTTTTAAAAACTTTGGCTGAGTAGATTAGCAGAGACAAGATTGGAGGCCATGAGACCATTTAGAAAATTATAATAGGAAACTGAGCTAGGGGCCAGGTGATGGTGGTCCCAAGTAGGGAAGAGGGGATCAGAGAAGTGGGTAGATGAGGGAACTTTTTAAGGTAAAATTAAGAGGGCAGGGTATTGAGTGGATATGAAAGGTGATTGAAAATAAAATGTCAGTGATCCCTGAACTTTAAAGCATTATAGCCTGGACACTGGGATGGACAGTGAAAGCAGTCACCATGATAAGGAACGTGGGAAGAGGAACAGGCATGGAGGAGGTGGTAGGTTTTGTTTTGGATGTGTTGAGTTTAGGACTGTGAGACATGCAGATGGACTATTAGCAGTCTGGATCTGAAGTTTAGAGAAAGGTCTGAGCAGAAGATAGAGATTGGAAGTCATCAGCTGGTACGTGGTATAAAAATAGGCAGGCTCCGTTAAGGAGAAGGTGTGAAGAGAGGAAAGGGCCTGGGGTGGAATTCCGGGGAACATCAGCATTAAAGCCTAGTTAAGAGATGAGCCTTCCAAAATAGCTAAGAAAGTTTAAAGCCAGAGAGGTAAGAGAACCAAGAGGGCAAGGTTTAAGAACCAAAGAAATGGTATTTGAGGAATAAAGGGATGGTTAGCAGTGGTAATGCTGAGCGAGCAAACACATTTAAGGTTGACAGGTGTCTGCTTGATTTATCAGCGAAGAGGAGGACATTGTTAGTCTTGTGGGAGAGTGGTGGCTAAGGTGACCCACACTGACAGTGAGGTTTCCCCTTCTTGCTTCTCCACTCCTCTCACCCTGTAGAGTTGTGTTCATCCGCCTTGCCCCTTGACTTAGGCCTGCTTTCCCACCCGGATCTCTGGTCTTGCCTGTGCTGGAGAAGAGCCACTGGAGACCGCACAGGAGGACATGGTGCAAGTTGCCCTCTGCAGTATATCATGCCCTTGGGTCTGCTGACCGTTGAACCTCCTCCCAGAGCAGCCACTGGGGCAACCCTCGGAGTAAGCTGTTCCTGCAAATATTTGAGGCCATTAAGTGGCTTCCCAGAAATAGCAGTTTGGGGGCAGGACCTGAATGTCCTTCTCAAGTCCATTCCTTTTTGGTCAGCTTCTTGTGGTTGACTGTCCTTGTGCCTGTCTGTTCTCTCAGTGTCTGAGCTCTCAGAAGGGCCAACAGTACTGTTCTTTGCAACAGTTGCTGGCTTTTCTTTGAGAAAGATACCTCCATAATTACTTTCATGTATGTTAATTGTTGTTCAGTGATGTCCAACTCTTTGCGACCCCATGGACTGCAGCACACCAGACTTCCCTGTCCTTTACCAACTCCTGGAGCTTGCTCAAACTCATGTCCATTGAGTTGGTGATGCCATCCAACCATCTCATCCTCTGTTGTCCCCTTCTCCTCCTGCCTTCAATCTTTCCCAGCATCTGTCTTTTCTAATGAGTTGGCTGTTCACAGCAGGTGGCCAAATGATTGGAACTGCAGTGTCAGTCCTTCCAATAAATATTCAGGGTTGATTTCCTTTAGGATTGACTGGTTTGATCTCCTTGCAGTCCAAGGGACTCTCAAGAGTCTTCTCCAGCACCACAGTTCAAAAACATGAGTTCTTCGGCGCCTTCCTTATGGTCCAACTCTCACATCCATATATGTCTACTAGAAAGACCATAGCTTTGACAAGATGGACATTTGTTGGCAAAGTAATGTCTCTGCTTTTTAATACACTGTCTAGGTCTGTCATAGCTTTTCTTCCAAGGAGCAAGCGTCTTTTAATTTCATGGCTGCAGTCACCATCTGCAGTGATTTTGGAGCCCAAGAGAATAAAGTCTCTCACTGTTTTCATTGTTTCCCCACCTATTTGCCATGAAATGATGGGACCGGATGCCATAATCTTAGGTTTTTGAATGTTGAGTTTGAAGTCAGCTTTTTCAGTCTCCTCTTTCACATTCATCCAGAGACTCTTCAGTTCCTCTTTGCTTTCTGCCATAAGGGTGGTATCATCTGCATATCTGAGGTTATTGATATTTCTCCCAGCAGTCTTGATTCCAGCTTGTACTTCACCAAATGAACATTTTGCATGATGTACCCTGCTTATAAGTTAAATAAGCAGGGTGACAATATACAGCCTTGACGTACTCCTTTCCCAATTTGGAACCAGTCCGTTCTTCCATGTCTGGTTCTAACTTGGTTGTTGACCTGCATACAGATTTCTCAGGAGGCAGGTCAGGTGGTCTGGTATTCCCATCTCTTAAGAATTTCCCACTGTTTGTTGTGATCCACACAGTCAAAGGCTTTGGCATAGTCAGTAAAGCAGAAGTAGAAGTTTTTCTGGAACTCTCTTGCTTTTTCTGTGATCCAAGGGATGTTGGTGATTTGATCTCTGGTTCCTCTGCCTTTTCTAAATCCAGCTTGAACACCTGGAAGTTCTCGGTTTACGTACTGTTGAAGCCTTGCTTGGAGAATTTTGAGCATTACTTTGCTAGCGTGTGAGATGAGTACAATTGTGTGGTAGTTTGAGCATCCTTTGGCATTGCCTTTTTTTGGGATTGGAATGAAAACTTGACCTTTTCTAGTCCTGTGACCACTGCTGAGTTTTCCAAATTTGCTGGCATGTTGAGCGCAACTTATTAACATCATCATCTGTTAAGTACCATGCATTTTTTCACTGTGCTTTCATATTAGCATTTAATTTGCTCCTCATTGCTTCACCTCGAAGGTAAGTAGTAGACCAGGTTTTAAAATGAGCAAGCTAGGGCTCAAGAGAGCAGAAGGACTTGGCCCACGTGGCACCGGTGGTTCACGGTGAAGCTGTCTCCAGTGCCTGGACTCTGACCCCTGCTGTTGGGTCTGTGGGTGTCGTGGTTTGCTTTGAGTCCTCAGATGGGGGATGCCTCTGTGAGAGGAAGAGTTCATTTAGGGAATAAACCCGGGCGAGTCTGATGTGAACTCTGCAGTTATCTGTGAGCAGGGAGAAGTACTCACTATATTTCCTTATGATGCAAACATAGTGAGGAGAAATTAATGACTTGGTGTATATGAAAGTACATCACTAAATTTCCCTGAATTTATTTGGAGAGTGAGGATTTCCTCTTTGGCTTAACATCTGTTCTCCTCTCTTTGGAGAAAACCCATAAGTGACTGTCCCTGCTCCACCCCAAGCAGGGACCTAAGCCTCTTTCTGACTGTTCATCTCCCCTGCCTTCCTGCCCGGGGGCAGATGGCACTGCCTGGCAGTTGGGCATAGCTCTAGGGCTAATTTTAACCACCTTATTTACGGCTTATCTGAGACCAGAGGGGTCTCAGCCTTTCTTTTGGGATGTGGGTGGGGGGGTGGCTCCACTTTGAATAGCATAAAGCTGAAAGTGACTTCATCAGAAGTGAGTGTCCAAGGCAGCTCCCCGCCAGGAAGCCCTTAACCTTCTGCCTTCTCTGTGACCAGAACTATAATGACAGCAGCATCAATTGAGTACTTTCGGTGTCAGTTCCTGTTCAGAGTGCTTTACATCCATTCATCCACCCAGCAGTCTAGGAAATACAGTAGCTCCAGCATTGCCCTTATTAGCTTACTGGCAGCACAGAGAAGAGAACTTGGACTGGCAACTAATTGAGTATGATTTACAACTGCCCTCTTTGGTACTTGCTGTGAGTCTCTTAGGAGTTGAGCCAGAGTAATCCTAGAAGGAGTGGGTCAGAGATTCATAAGTGAAGGGCTTTCTGGGCAGGTGAAGTAGTTTGAGCAGAAGCAAGACAGAACCATCAGGTGCGAGAGAGAGTGATGAGACCAGTCTTGCGGCAGCAGAGCAGGCGCATTGGGGAAGAAGAGTCAAGAAGCCTGCAGAGGTGGAAAAACCTCTTTGCCGAGAAGTGTTTGATGTAATAGGTCCTACAGTGAGAACAGAAAGTGTTCTTAGTTAGAAAGCAGTGTTCTGGCATCGGTGTTGCACGGAACAAGGTCAAGCGAACTACCTAGTGCGTGCTAAGTCGCCTCAGTCATGTCTGACTCTTTGCGACTCTGTGGACTGTAGCCCACCAGGCTCTTCTGTTTATGGGATTCTCCATGCAGGAAAACTGGAGTGGGTTGCCATGCCCTCCAGGGGATGTTCCTGACCCGGGAATTGAACCCAGGTCTCATGTCTCCTGAATTGGCAGGTGGGTTCTTTACCACTAGCTACACCTAAGAGGACCCAAAGATGAAGTGTGGGACAGTGGGAAGGCCACCCTGTGAACTTGGCCTGTAGTGGATTTTGTCCATCCCCTCTAGAACCTGGGCTCTGAGAGCAGCAGGTGCCAGGAGGTGTCCGGGATATGGGACAAAGGATTGGCAAGTCTCGGCTGATGATGCTTCTTTACCTTCTGTTCCAGGCTGAATCCCAAAAACGTTCACCAGAGGCCTACAGTGGCCCTGCTCTGTGGGCCTCACGTGAAGGGGGCTCAGGGTATCAGTTGTGGAAGGCACCTGGCCAACCATGATGTCCAGGTCATCCTCTTTCTGCCCAACTTTGTGAAGATGCTGGAATCCATTACCAATGAGCTGTCTCTCTTCAGCAAGACCCAGGGCCAACAAGTGTCTAGCCTCAAAGGTGAGCCCTTGTACAGGGTTGGGGCCCGCTCCCTCCTCAGTGCTTTCACGGTCTGCTGGTGCCGCCCAGTGGTGACAGGTGGAAAAGCACCACAATCATAAAGAGCACTTTGCTCATGAGTGGTCTTAGAGTCTTAAGGAAGTAAATACCCTTGGTGTTGACTTGCCTACATCCCATCCCTTCACCTTCTTCCTCCTCCCACCACTCAGATGGAGAGGTGGGGATCCATTTAGTTTTTTCACGGATAAATACAGAATGGGCGCTGTTCCTGACACTGGGGATACAGTGATAGATTTTTTTTTTTCCTTAATCCATGTATTTGTGGAGCTTACATTCTGGTTAGGACAGATGACAAGTGACAGTTCTCTCAGGTCAGATGGTAGTGTTATGCAGACAAATAAAACAGGGAAGGGAGCTTGTGAATGTTGGAGGGTTGGGTGGAGGGTAGCAGTAGACTTCGACGTTTTAGGGCCCAGTCATAAAGGGCCTGTGGATCTTTATGTAAGGTTTGAACTTTTAGTCTGAGTGAGATGGAGAGTCACTTTAGGAATAAGTGGCAGAAAGATATAATCCAGCTCGGGTTCCAGACGATCATTACGTCTGTTGTTTGAGCGCAGACTGTAGACTTACACAGATTTATTAAGGCTATTATAATAATTGGAACGAGAAGTGATGGTGGCTGAGACAGCATGAAAGTGATGAAAGGTGGTTAGTTTCTGAAGCAATATTGAAGATAAGAGTTTATAGATTGGATGAAAAGGGTAAGAGAAAGAGAAGGGTAAAGAACGACTCCAAGTTTCTTGACCTGAGTAACTGGAAGGATGGAGGTGCCATCACTGAGATGGGAAGAGCTGAGGGAGGTTTGGGGAAGAGCAGGAGCTCAGTTGGAGATGCCTATTGGATAGGCAGGTGGAAATACTGATTGATGGAGATGAGTCTGGAGTTAAGTGAAGGGATCCAGTGTGGAGTTACAAGTGTGAAGAGGTGGTATTTAAAGCCATAATGATCCTGGATAAGGTATCTTCTAGGAAGAGGGCTTAGGATGTTAGAGTGGATTCTTTGGATAGAAGTTTAAGGGACCAGCTAAGAGACAGGGAAAGAGTGGTCATTGAAGGAGAAGGAAAGCCTGGAGAGTCTGGTACCTGAAAGACGAATAAAGGAAAGGGTGTGAGCAGCTGTGTCAGCAGGCCTTTCTAAGTTGAGTTCAGATGAAGATTGAGACTTGACTACTGGGTCCAGCAGTGTGGAAGCCCCTGGTGATCTTGACAGGAGCAGTTTCAAGTGTTATGGTGAAGCGTGGTCTGATAGGAATGGGTTTAAATGAGAACAGGGCAGAAGTGGAGCACGCAAATGTGGCCCAGAGAAAGGGCCTTGCCAGGGATCAGATGGCAAGATGGGGCCAGAACCTCAGTCTCTCAACTCTCAGGTCAGGCTCCTGTGGGCATGAGGAAGGGAGGATGCCATTCCTACTCTCGAAAACTTTGGGGCTCACAGGGACACACCCATCCCCACCCGTAGTGGCCTGTTCTGAGAATCTAATTGAGGTATGTCACTACTTAAGGCTGAGACCTGGGAAGGGGTTCTCATATGTGGGTTCCCCCTCTTAAGATCTGTAATATGATGCCCTTTTTCAGGCAGTTATTCTTCCTCAGCTACCCACAAGGCTTCCTATTCCAGTTGCTCCAGGATGTTCACCTTTGAGTTTGGTCTGACTTCTGCTAGTCTCAGTTTAACCTCCTAGGCTGGTCAGGACTTATGTGCTTATTGAGCCATCTGTTCTTACACTGTGCCAGAGGCCTGGTGAGAGCAGAGAAGCCTTTTTAAACACCTGGGAGAAGTGAGAGATTCCTTCGGCGTTCTTAAGTTTGGGCTGCAAGAAGGACTCATTTCTATAATCGTGAGGGGACCAGCAAGGCCAGGCTGTGGGAGCAGGCCAGCCTGGTGTAGAGTGAGCACGCTCTTGCCTGTTCACACTTCTAGGGCCAGACAGCAAATGGCAGTCAGCCCAATTCTCCTGGGCCCTGGTCACATCCTCCCCCTGAAGACTGACTTGGTAATAGAGCCCACCTTCGCAGAGCTTATAATTTACCAGGAAGTTAGATGTGCAGAGGAGGCAGGGGCCTCATGTCCTGAGATGCTCTGCTCACCCAGCACGACAGTGCTTCAGCCTGGGAGCTCCACGAGGACAGTGGTCCATCAGGCTGACGTACCCTTGGTCTCTAGCACCCAGCCCAACCAGGTCTTGGAACTCCCGGAGCCTGGGTCCTGGCCCAACCTTGAAAAGCCTGGCCTCTGCAGAGGCATTGGAGTGGTGTCTGAACAAGACACTCTTGGGGTCACTGAGGTTCTTGTCCCAGCCTGGACTGCTCTCTACTTTATAGGGGTTACAGATGGCACTCTTTCCACCTGCAGATCTGCCCACTAGCCCTGTGGACCTGGTGATCAACTGTCTGGATTGCCCTGAGAATGCCTTCCTGCGGGATCAGCCCTGGTACAAGGCAGCTGTGGCCTGGGCCAACCAGAACCGGGCGCCAGTACTCAGCATAGACCCTCCTGTGCATGAAGGTGAACAGGGCATTGATGCCAAGTGGTCACTGGCTCTGGGCCTGCCTCTGCCTCTGGGGGAGCACGCGGGCCGCGTCTATTTGTGCGACATCGGCATTCCCCAGCAGGTGTTCCAGGAGGTGGGCATCAACTACCACTCGCCCTTTGGCTGCAAGTTTGTCATCCCACTGCACTCTGCCTAGAAGGGCTCTGGGCGGGCTGGACCTCATAGTCCCCTGCTGCTCCTGACACTGAATTTGACAGCGAACGCCTTAAGGATGTGAAGTTTCATGGACCTTGTTGTTAAATTTTTTCTTTTCATTTTGTTTCTTTGAAAGAACAGATCATATTTAAAACTGACCTGTCACGTGCCCTGAGCCAGGGAAGGCTTTCCCACCGGGGACACGGGGCTAGTGGCAGGCTAAGTGCACAGTGGCTCCAGGCATCTCTACACTCGGCCCCCTGCATGGTCAGGTGGGGCTTTGTTTACAGACATAGGCAGCTCACAGACTGTATGTCAGGTTTACAGCCACGGGGCCTGGGCTGACGCCTCGCAGGGTGGGGCAGTCCTGTTGGGGGGTCTGTGCTTGCTCTGGTTCAGAGCTTGTGGCTTTGTCTCCCCTGCTTCCTCCAGCCAAGCAGCCCCTCCTCTGATCATGTAGAGCTGGCTGTGCTGCCGCTGTCCGCCAGAGGGCAGACTTGCATTCTCGGTTCAGTTTGAGGGCTTTGAGGCCTTCCCTGAGCTTTGACCCTTTCTCCTGAGCTGATCAAGTTTTATGCTAGGTTTTTTTTTTCCCCCCAAGGGTCCTTCCTCCTTTCCACTCCATCACTCTGAGAGGCAGGGAAGGGGGGCAGGGTTGCATCTGAATGGTGTTACTGTATTGGGATTTTTTTTTTTTTTTTACTGTTTTTCTGTTGTTTGCAGCACAGGTAGTATAAGCTTATGTTACTGTAGAACCACAGTGCCCATCTTGCCAGCAGTGCCCCCCAACCCCATACTCTCTAGCTGGGGACTGAGCCTTTGCCTAGTCTGGGGCCAGACCCCTCAGGGTGCAGCTTTAATGTTCAGTATTGGGGAGGCCCCTGGGGGAGCCTGGTGCTGAACCAGAAGAGGCTCCCTGGTGCTTCTGTCCTAAGCCACCACTCCCCCCTCCTCCTTGCCTGCACACATATCCCTACTCTCTTCTGTCCCCTCTGCCCTTCCCCTGAAATGGTCCATTGCAGCTGTGGGCGCATGTCCCTCCCACATGGGCTCTCCCTCAGCCCCCCAGCTTTTACAGTGTCTGGGCCTTGAACCCTTTGATTGTCCTTTCTAGATGTGTAGGCTCAGGGCCAGCACCCTGTCTCTAAGATGCCAAAATGAGGCTAGTTCTGGATGAGCTAGCTGGTGGGATTCAGCCTTAGGAACACAGTGCTGCTCAGATCCTAAGACACTGAGCCCCCAGATGTTCACAGGCCCCAAAAGTTGGCAGAACAGGAGCCATGTCCTGAAGTTCCCGAGTGGGGCCCTTGCAGAGGCTTGTGTTAAAGCCTTTTTCAGGGCTTCAGGCTTCCTTCTGCTCTGTGCCCACCCAGTATGGTTAAGGGGGTGAGTGGAAGGGCCTGCCAAGGATCATGGATGCAGGTTAGGCCCTGGTACCCTGGGTTTCAGGATGCTTATCACTTTCCTTATCAGAGCATAGTTGGGGGCAAATTAGGCAGGGCAGAGAGGGCTGGTCCCTCCTTTCCTCCCAGCCTCCCTCAGATGTTAAATTGTCTCCAGCGGTGGATGGTGGCCAGCGACTGTGAATCCCATGCTGTGTATCCTTCCTGAACCTCTGCTCACTCTCAGGGCCGAGAAGCTCCTGAATGAGGCCCTCTCTCTAGAGGTGGGCCCATGGTTTGAGGAGCAATGCTGGGTTACAGGCATTTTAGTAAGCAACCATTCAACAGGCTCTGGCTGCCTGTTAATGCAGTGAGGTCTCCCCATTGGGTCCAGTGAAAAACGAGCTAGAACCCTGGTGCACAAGACTCTGCTTGCTCCAGTAAGTCATGGTGACCCTGTGGGTGATGGCCTTGTATTGAGGGGCCACTGGGAGTTGGTGCCCAAGCCTCTCTCCCCAGGTGGCACTGGAGCCTCTTGCTGCCCTCAGCCTGGGCCTTCCCCAGTGGTGGTAAAGATAGCATGATTCCTCCATCTTCACCTCTTTTCAGAGGCATCCTACCCACAGTGCCCAGTCCCCACGGGGCCCCAGTCAGGTGGCCAAAACTCATTCATGCAGCTCTTGGGGAACCAAAAACCAGCACTACAATAAAGCTGAACGACGGGAGTCTTGTGTGCTGTGGTACATTGCTCCGTGGGCTGCAGTGAGGTACTGCATCCCCAGCCCTAGGAACCTGCCTTGATCCCCACCTGACCTCAACCAGCCAGTTATTGGGCATACACAGCCTAATGTCTCAGCCAGAGGCAGGGAGGGCTGGAAGGAGAGGTAAACCCGTGGGCCATTCCTGGTATGTTCTTTGGGGCTGAGAGGTACAGGGCCCAGGTGCCTTTCCAGACTGTTGAGCAGACCTACCGCTGCTCTCCTGGGCTCGGGGACACCCGAGATTCTGGCTAGCCTTTCCGGGCCTGGCCCAGTTCACACGTAGCTCTCCACAAGCGGCACTGCTAAGAAAAACTTTATTAATAAGGTAGGGAAGGGAGAAGGCAAGGAGCCTGGAGATGGACACACTGGTACCAGGGGTTACAAACAGTAAGAAACACTTTATTATAACTTTACAACATATAAATAGCTTGGGTCAAATCTGTGCTTTCTGGCAGCTGGGCATCAGGTCTCCTCCCCTGCAGGCTCCTGCCTTCCTTCACATTGCACTGTTCACTAGGTGGCTCTGGCCCTGGGGCCGGCGGTAGAGGTTGGAGGAAAGGGGCCGGGCAGTCCAGTCCCGCTCTCCGTCTCTGGTGCAGTGGCCGCACGCCTGTCATCTGCTTGGGTTGCGGCTGGTGTGGAAGGACCGCTCCTCAGGGGTCAGACCAGCAAAGAAGGGGTGCAGCAGGGCCTCCGCCAGTGTGATGCGCTGGGCAGGGTCAAATTCTAACATCCTCCTCATCAGGTCAAACAGCTGCACGTGCTCCAGAGTGTCTTGGAGCATATAACTCTGCTCAGGGACACAAGGTGCCTCAGTGTGATGGCAGGCCGGGGGAGGCCACAGCCAGTCCCCCTCGCCTCTGGGAAGCCTTGCTGCATGGCTGAGGAGGCAGGATGCCCCCCGAAGAACTACTTCTGCCCTCCTGGACAAGGAGCAGCTCTTTGCTTTTCGAGCCTGTAATCATGTCTGCTCTGAACTTGTCAGGCTACCGGGTGTCGCTGGCTTGATGCCTCTGCCCCATGTGCAAAGTTCTGACAGGTGGGTAGACAGCACCTCTGTGAAATTCAGTTGTCCAAGCAGCAAATGCAGTTGACAGAGGCTTCCTGGCCATGTCTACGTCTTCCCCCACCCTCCCCTCAGTCCCGCCTACTGAGAAAAGAGGGAGCGGGAAGTAGCAGGGTCTTGGACATCTGGCTCTTCGGATGCCCCCCGATTACATCAGAGCCACCCTGTGGGAAAGGGGAAGAGCTAAGGGCCCCTCTAGGGCAGTTTGCAAGAAGCCTCACTGCCAGCACCCGACAGCCTTGGGCACAGCCGCCCAGAGCCGGAACAAGGCGGCCGTTTCCAGCTGCCTGGCCTCTGCTGTGTCTGCCCAGTGCCTGGGGGTTCGTTGCATGCGCTGAGCTGGGGGAAGCCAGAAACTGACCTTCAGAGGTTTGCAGTTCTCCTTCACATACCGGCCGTCAGAGCTGTTCTCATCCCAAACCAGGCCCCCTTTGTAGAAATATTTCTGCTTCCTGAAAACAAAAGACAGGAAGGGTGGAACCTTAAAGTGGGAAAGACAGCAGCAGCGTGGAGAACAGCAGCGAAGCAAGGCAGGGGACCCTGGCCTGACCCAGCAGGAAGGTCTGGGCAACAGCTTTGCCAGGTCACTCTGAGGCAGGAAAGCCCTGAGGGAGCAATCCTTACCTTGTCCGGTGGATCATGTGTGATGGGATGGGCCCTAGGATCTTCTCCATCATCACCAAATGCTCTCGGTTCTCGTGGGTCTGTGGAAGGGTGAGGGACACAGCAAGTGGGAATCATGACAGCCTCCGCCCCCTCAAGGTCCCTCGGAGAATAAGGGATAAGAAAGATGGTCAAGGTCTCTCCCGGCCCCAGGAGACGCAAACCCACCAATGGGACAGCAGCCCCAGCCTTTCTGACCTGGTGGCAGCCTGGGACCAGGGGGGAAGCCAGCCTCTTCCCTCAGGGTGAGACTTCCCGACCCGTCCAGTGTACTGCATGATGACAGCTCATTCTGGCTAGTTCTTCTCTTTCCCCAGAAAGTGCCGTGCCCCAGCCCATCTCCACTCACTCACACTGTGCCCCTTGGCTGGAACACTCCTCCCACCCCAGTCCTCCTTCCCTGATGACTGACTGCAAGAGTCCCTGAGTGTTCAAGCTACCCTGACTGACCTCTTCCTTCCCAAGCACCTACAGCCCTCAGGAGTCTAATCTCACAACATGCTGGTGAGTGGGTGGGAGGGAGTCCCTCCCACACTAGGCCTCTGCAGCTTAGGGTAGTGGGGTGATGAGGGAGAGGCCTTACCTGGAAGAGTGTGAAGCCCCGGTAGTACTCAAAGAGAATGCAGCCGATGCTCCAGACATCACAGGGCTGTGCCCAGCCCAGCTCTGAAAGCCAAAATGGGGTGGGCTATGAGACTCAGCTCTGTGCTCCCAGCCCAGAGGTCACAGGGCAGCTACCACGCTGTCTGGCAAGACTCCTGGCCAAAACCCAGCAGAAGTCCCTTTCTTAAGACCAAGTCAACAGCCACAGAGACTCAGGACACTGGCCCCAGGTGTGAACAGGCACCACACTCCCTGTTTTCATAGCCTGCCAACAACTGCCTGCTTTATCGGGCTGGGAGCTGCAGTCACTCACCAAGGATCACCTCAGGTGGACGGTAGTGACGGGTGGCCACAATGGTCGTGTGATGCTCATGGTCAAACGTGGCACTGCCGAAGTCAGCCACTCGGATGCTGGTGTTCTTCACGGACTTCTCCTCACAGCTCTGAGGGGCAGGGAAGGGAGCCAGGTCAGGAGTCTGTACTGGTGGGTAACCAACTCCTGGAACAGGGCCTCGATCATTACCCCACCAATAAATACCTTGTGCTCATTGTAGAGGGTTTCAAACTCAGAATTCACAAACAGGATGTTTTCTGGCTTCAAGTCTGTGTGGGTCAGTTGGTTCTCATGTAGAACTGGGGGAGCAGGAGAGGAGGGAAGCAGACACTGAAAACCTGGGCTTCCTCTCTGGCCCGCCTGCCAGTGCTAGGCCAGCTCCCTCCTCCAGAGCCAGCCTGCTAGAGCCCTCAGCCCCTGCCCTCAGCAGTGGCAGAGGGAGAGGACCACACTGTGTCTGCTCTTCCCTCTCAAGGGTTCTCTGTACTTATGAACTCAGAGGGTTCTAATTCTTGAGGGGGCAGGGCAGATGCCTTCCATTTAGAAAACCTCTTTCTACCTGTCTGCAGGGGACCAGGTCTCTCAACAAAGCTGCAGTATCAGTCTTGGAGTGGTTCCCTCTCCCAAGCACCAGCTACATAATTTGCAAGGCCCAGGGTAAAATGAAAATGTAGGTCTCCTTATTCAAAAGTTACTTAGAATCTCAAGATGATGGTAGGAGAGCATTAAACCAAGCACAGGGCCCCCTATGAAACGATGAAGCCAGTCCTGCCTTTCTCCCCTCACCCCCTGCCCTGAGCAGGGGGAAGTCTGCCTTTTCCCTCCAACCCTGTCCCACCAACGGCTGTACCCTGCCACTCATCACTTTTCCCATCTGGTACTCAAGACCCTCCCAATTGTGTAGCCCATCTCTCTTGACATGGACCCTCTCTTCACCACAGTGAGCTGCAGCACATGCCAGGCTCTGTGCCAGCACTGGGTGGCTCACCTGGCTTGGAACGCTCTCCCTGGTCCCGTCACCTATGCAGACCCTGCCAGTCTAGCTCTAGGTCTAGCCGCCACCTCTCCAGTGAGCCTTTCCTACCTGTTTCAACCACTACAAATCCTGCAGCACTGAACACAGGTGCCACCTTAGAGGCTGGCAGACAGATGGGAAATAATGGTGAGACAGACGGGGTCTGTGCAGATAGGATCTGTGGGTGGGATCTACCAGGTCAGTCTGTGACCTCTTCATCCTATGCAGGAAGGTAGGAATGGGGCTGGTACGGGGCTAATCCTAGAGCATCTCTCTCCCTTCTTCTCTTCCGGAGAGCCTGGGGTCAGAGGCCAGCTCCAGAGGCCCCTGGAGGGGACTGCAGCCTCTCCATCGTCACAGATTCCTACTTGAAGGCCTTTCAGCCAAAGGGGCCCTAGTGTCTCAGGCCCAGTAGAACAGTCAGCAATGTGTTGGAGGAACTGATGGGAGGGCAGGGCCCCCAGGTGCCTTTGCTGCAGACAGGAAGCTGCCCCTGCTCCACTTGAGGGTGGGAACTTACATCTAAGGGCGTGGCAGAGCTGGTAGGCCATGTGCCGGACATGTGGTAGAGGGTAAGGCTGGAAGTTATTCTCCTTTAGGAACTCAAAGGTGTTCTTGCCCAGGAGCTCAAAGGCGATGCACATGTGACCGTGGAAGTTGAACCAGTCAGACATCAAGACGCACAGGCTGGAGAAGGACGGATGGGGCTCAGGGTCTGTGCTGGGGGGCTGGATGCCCACCCGCTCCCTCAGGTGAAGACAGTCCCACTCCCTCCCAGGCTGCTGGGTCACAAACAGGATGCAGATTCATAAAAAAGAAAACTATGGGCACAGTCCCTGGTCTCAGAAAGGTGGAGTAACCAGGCCACTCCATAGGACGAGCGCCTTCTGCCGAGCTTCCTGAGTCTGCAGGGCTCAGCACAGTGCTTGGCGGAGGTGACTGCTCCGTGTCTGTGTGCTCCTTTGGACATCTCCGACTACGTGAGCATCCCAAACAGTTTGGGGTTTATATCTTGTCTAATGCCCACCACAACCCAGTGAAGCCTCTAATTCAAATGCAGGGCAAGGAGGCCACCTCAGAACATAGACTTGGTTGCAGTGGAGCCTAGGCTAAAACCCAGCTGTTCCTTCCAGCAAGACTCACTCTCCAGACCCCCCGTCTCTGGCTGTCGGGAGAAGGCATGGTGCCGACCCAGCGAAAGGGCACTGCTTGGCCCCACTGAGTCTGGGCCGCAGGGCTGGACAGACACTGACCCCTAGGAAGCTTCCCGCCCATCCCCTGCCGATACTCACAATTTGTTCTCTTTGTCCTTCTCCTTGATCTTTTTGAGAACGTTGATTTCTAGCCGGGCGGCCTCCCGGTACTTGCCTACATTGCGGATGATCTTCAGGGCAACCTGAGACTTCCCTCTGGACCGGGGAAGGAAGCAGCAGTCCTCATGAGAAGCTATGCAGCCCCTCCCCCACCCTCCACCCCAACCTAGCAAACTCCTCGCAAATGCTACTTAGGACTCCAGGAACAGGGCTGCCCTGAAGACAGCAGATTCTTGATGCCTAGCCTGCCTCACACAACTCCAGACCTCTACCTGTGCAATATGAAGTTGCTGTTGACAACCGTGCCAGTCTTAGGTTTTTATGATCTCAGCTGCTGCCAGCTCCCAGGAGGAGTGGGCAGAGAAGCAGAGCCCTATCCTGCTGACCAGCACCAGCCCTAGAGCTTGCTCAGTTACCTGACCTGGAGGCCAGTCAGTCCTGACCCTGGTCAGAACCCTGGTCATCCCACTCAGAACCCTCTGCAGCACCTCCTGACTTTCCTGAGCACATCACCAACTCTACACAAATTGTTCCTCCTGGGGTTCCAGGAGGGAGTGAGAGCCTGGCAGGAGGGAAAGGTGCCAGCAGAGGCTCTTCCCCTCACTGAACCCCAGGACCGATCCCTCAGCACACCTCCTGGCCCCACCTGCCTCAATACCAGCCGTGGCATTTGTCAGAGACCCCCAAGCACCAGGAACCCTTATTCAGCATCCAATGAGGATTTTAATAATTCCTGCTCTACACCTCCCACCTTACCCCCAGCACCACCCCTGTATGCCATGAGCAGGTGCCCAGCAGAGAATAACTGGGGAGGTTAGGCTGTCAGGCCCAACACTCTCAGGGAGAGCCAGTGCTCAGATGCCCAGTGGGAAACTAGAGTGATAAGCCCTGGCCCACAAGGGTGTGGCCTAAGGCCTCTGGGAAGCTGGCCGTGGTGCCAGAAAGGTTCACAGGTCAAAGGGCAGAGGCATCTTCTAGAACACTGTGCATTTTTCTCATCCCATTTTCCCATATTTTCAGAGTAGGAAAGGGCCTCAGAGGAAAAGCCATAACTCCAGACTCCTGGAACGGCATCCCTTAATAGCATGCCGACCCTTGAGATGAACTCATCACTTCCACACAGCTACTGCCAGAGTTGGGCAGCCCTTCCTTTTGTGGAGCTGAATTCTGCCTTCTCACAACAAGCCCACTGGCCAACTCCCTCTGGACTCCCTAAAGATTCCCTGAACCCTAGGCCTGCCCTTTAGTGACTTCAAAGGCTCGCTTCCCATCTAGCTGCTCAAAGTGGCAGCCCAGAGAGCCCCCAGGTGCCACAGCTCTCAGATCTGCCACCTCTCACCACTGTATCATCTACATGTCCCTAAGCCCACTGGTCCCAGCCCTAACTTCTTGGGCCACATGGGGTCTGAAGAGTGTTTAAATGGGAACTGGGAGCCCAGGGAGGCTTCACTGGTAATAATCACTACCTTAGATTGGGGTCACATGGCAGGCTGAATTGCTAGGTTTAACTGTCCTCTCCAGGCACCCCTCAACATGGGAGCGCCAAGTAGAGCAGTGCCCAGCTCCTCCATTCGAGCTGGGGGATACAGGCAGACCCTGAGCATGCTTCTTCATCCCTAAAATCATACAAGAGTCACGTACAGGCAGCACGTGGCTCAAATAAGACAGCAAGGACACAGGCACTTTCTGGCCAAAGCGCCATACCAAAGAGGCCATTTAAGGCTCGAAGGCAGTGGGTTCACAGGCGGCAGCCTCACAGCCTAAGGGAGAGGAAGCAAGGGTTCTGGTCTCAAGGAGTGGCAAGGGATAGAAAAATTTTTCACTGTTCAGCCTATAAGGGAGCAAGGGACCCCCGGCAGGATCCCAACACACACAGGTGTACCCCTGTTCTACCTGAGCACATTCGAAGGGGCCCAACCCCTAGCACGCTGCAGAAGGCAGCAGCCCACTTGATGAGAAAGCCCAGGGTCTTGTTCCTCTCAACGGGGGCCTACATGGCCTCTCAGGCAGACCTCCAGAGGGTGGAGGCTCATGCTTGAGTTGGACTCAGCAGTACAGTCAAACCCCTGCCAGGCCCCTAAAAGAGCTCACAGGAAGCAGATCCAGACCATGGCAGGGGCAGGGTCTTGCCCTGTTCTGATCTCTACCACAGCCCTGAGGAAGTGGGGAAACTGGAACAGCACCATTCAATAACCATCAGTTCTTAGGCAGAGATGCAACATGCCCATGAATCCCAGGAATTTCTCCCTATTTTAGGGGATCAGTAAAAACCCAATGTGCATAGGAGCTTTGGTGCTACTCTTCGAAGAGAAAAAGGTTAAGCTCTGCCACCACCTTCAAGAACCTCGGGCCGGCTCTTCCCAGGAGGACAGCTTACCTGGCATGGTCCAAGCACTCCACCACCTTGCCAAAGGTGCCTTCACCCAGGTTCCCCACGATCTCATCTAGGAGAGAAAAGAAACAGGGCATGAGAACCTGGAGGACAGAGGGCTGGCAGCTCCTGTAAGTTCACAGCATTCAAATTCTCAAAAACATAAAAGGTTTCTTTCTCACTGCTACACTCTTAAAAACAGAAGTTGCTAGCGTCTGTGTCATTCAGGCAATTACTGGTGGCCCCTCTAAGGCACCACGCGCAATAGAGGCCCCTCGGGCAGGAGAGGTCTCGTCTAACAAGGGGGATAGAAAGTAGAGAGGTAAAGTTTTACGAAAGGTGGCTGTACATCGCTCTTGGAGCCAATCGCCGATCCGGCACACCAGGTGGCCCTCCTTGTCATCTTCCACACTCCGGCTGCTGCGCTTACTGCTCTGTTGGCTTCTCTGCATGCACCGCCCCCCGAAACGCCATCCGACCAATCGCATGGTAGGCGGTTCCGATTGACAGATTGAGGTGTCAGTCAAAGGCAGAGGTGGAGACGGTGAGGAGCCGGTGGGTTGGTTGATTGGATTTTCCAGATCCCAGCATTTCATAAGGCACACAGCATATATAACGATAGGGATATTGCAAGGGACACGTCAAGACACAAACTGACTTCAAAAACAGAAAAGTAAAAACAGCTACAGGTATGTAAAGAAAACTCGGACATTATCTAAGAGAAAGGCGCCGCAAATGCTCAGAAAGACGCCCAGCCTCTGCTGCTAAGGGGCTGGGCCATGTGGAGAGTCGTAGGCCTGACTCCCGCCTCCACTGAGTCTCCCCCTCCCGGCCCTCCCATGTCGGCTTCGGCCAGGGTGAAGACGCAATGAGAAGGGTGCAAGAAGACGGCAGGCCGAGCCTCGGTCTGATCATCCAGAATGGTCAGAGGCCACTCGGTTCAGCTGCAGAATGCCCAGTCTGCCTGCCCACGCGGTCCTACACATGCCCGACAGCTGCCACCTGCCCCTAGACAGCATCTGTGGCCAGACTCAGCATCACCAGCAGAACCAGTCTTTTGTCGGCAGCCCTTGCACAACCAGCCTCGAGCAGAGAAGGAGCACTGGATCCTCTGGGCTCGTCGACTCTCCAAGGCCTACCACCACGACGGCCCACACAGGCCCCAAGCCAGCTCCTGCCCTGGCCTTGGCACCGAGGCGACTCACAGGCCAGGCCCAACCTGAGCCTCATGACAACAAAGGGCACCAAAAAGAGAAGAGGAGGAGCCACACACCTGTGGCAGTGTGCAGAGAGGGGACCAGGCCATGCTGGGTGCCTGGTCAACCCTCAACCCACGGCCACTCAGAGAAGTCACGGGAAAGCGCGGCAGAGAAGACACCTGGCCCCCCTCCACTGCTGCACCATACTCCTCAGGGGCCTCGTGGCCGGGAGCCAGTGAGGGAGGGCAGAGGGCTGGGAAGGGAAGACAAGACACCATATACCCTCCGAGACACACAACTGGCCTTCCTTCCCAGAGAGCTGAGCGCAGAGCAGGTTCCTGGTCTGAGCAGAGATCTGTACAACACTCCACAATAAGAATGCTTCCAGGCCCTGCTCTGGGCATGTGACCTGCAACTGGACACCGCCGGGAGCTGGGGGCCTTTCTGCCATTTCCTCACAGGCCCCACCTCACAGGCAGCTCATCCCCCTTGCCTTGACTGCCCCTCACATGAAGAGGTGAGGCTGAAGAGGGCGTGCCTCCAAGTCAGAGTGCAGGTCCCAGTCCAAGCTCACTGACAGATGGACCCCACCCCCCACCCATGGGCACCCCAGCCTCCAGGCCTTTGGTGAGGGGTGTGGAGAGGAGACTGCAGAGGTGGATGCAGTCCACACCAGTCAGAGCACTCAGCCGTGTGGCGGGGCAATCTCTGGGTGGGAAGGACCAGGTCAAACAGCTCCAGACCACATACCAGCAACCCTACTAAGGATCCTGAAGAAGTGTCCCTGGCTACTCGCACACGTGGCCTGTGCCTGGAGCAGTGTGGAGACAGGGAGGCCAGGGGCCAGCCAGCGCCGGAACCAGAACCCCTAAGTTGCCATTGCCAGTGGGCCAGAAGACAGAGGAGCTGGGCCCCTGCTCAGCCCTGCAACTGGACCAGACAACACATACACACAACACACACACACACCAAATGCGCGTGCATACGGCTGGCAGTACTCACCCAGACCAGCCACCTGAGAGAAGGCTAGAAAGAGACGAGGCCTTCAAGCCCCAGCAGCACACTCTGGCCACCACTCACCGAGGAGGCGCTGCTACAAGACCTGGTGCGGCGTTTGTGGCAGTGGTGGGCATGCTTGCGGGTCCGGTACGGCTCCCTCTCCCGTGACCGCCGGCGATGATGGCAACGTGAAGATCCATAGTAGTCCTCTCCAAAGGATGGGCTCCGGTCTTCACACCGGTATGTGTCGCTGTCACGGTGCTCCCGGTATCTCCTCTGGTAGGGCAGGCGGTCATGGCTGCCAAGAGTCACTGGTCAGAATTTCCTCCCCCCAAGCAGGCTCCTGCTGCCAGGCAAGACTTGTGTGGTGGGGTCCTTGCAAAGGGCTCACAAGGCTCTGTTGGAGCAGAGGCATCCGGACTATGGGAGGTGGGGAAGGGGAGCACGTGTATGTGAACTCCAGTCTCCAGACCCTGGGCTCTTGTCGGCATCCATCCAGGGCCGAGGGAGGCAGAGCACAGGGGAAGGTGGGCGTGGCGGAGGGCCTCTGAGACTGTACTTTTGGCCTAGGGGCTGAGATAAGACCAGAGACCAACTTCGGGAAAGGGCTGAGATTATGTTTCTAACCCACACTGAGGAAGGCTCAGAGGTTAGCAGGGGAGATGCTGGCCTACAAAACGGGGGAACATGTTAGGAGAAGGAAGACTCAAGGAGAGAGAAAGAAGGGGTGGCAAGGATGGCGGTGAACTGAGGCCAGGGAATGCAGGTGAGATCAGAGAAGGAGACGGAAGAGGACAGGGCAGTGATCCAGGTGCAGCCCGGCGGAGGCGGCAGTCACCTGAAGAGGCCCAGGGTGCCACAAGCCTCCAGACTATCTCCTGAGCCCAAAGGGGTAAGGAGTCCTTTCTTGTGACCTAATTCCCTCTCACCTTCTAGACCGAGATCTCCGGGGTGGAGGCTCCCTTCGAGACGGGTATCGCAATCGCCCTTCGTGCTCCCGACTGTAAGACCTCCTCCTCTTCCAGCGGTAGCTCAGGTATGGGTCTGGCTCAGGGGAGCGGTATCGCTTACAGTGATGCATCTAGGCCACAAGAAATAGAAAGCCCTGCTGAACACACAGCCAGCCACTGGGCTGCCTAGGCGCTCCTGAAGAAGAGGGCCATTGTTCTGTTTGGGGGCAGCCCCTCCCAGGGGTTTATGAAGTGATGAAGAACTCTGAGGTCACACTGGTCAAACAGCAGACAATGGGTAACACCCTTCTCTGCTGGTGAGCAAACAAACATCTGCCTCCCCAGCACAGCATCATTGGCCTGGTGGCCTGAGCACTCAGGGAACCAGGTGAGCCAGGACCGGCGTTGAGGCAGAATGCAGGAAGGGGCTGGTGAGCACCCCCACAGAAGACCCCCAAGAAGAAAGGGAGCCTCTTGTGCTCAGTTCCCTCCTGCTTGTCTGTAGGGTCCTATGAAGGACCTGTTCTGTTGAGCCAGAGGTCAGAGTCAAAAGGCTGCTGGCAGGGAGCCAACACACAGGAGCAAGGGGTGAAAGACCTCGAGTTTGAGAAGCCAAGTTGCCTGGTTGAGGCCCTGAACTGTACCCCACTCAAGGGAGCAAGGACCACAAATCAGTGTGAGGAGCCACAGGCAGAAATGAGATCAGCCCTCGGACAAAGAGGGGCCCCAAAACATTCCCGAGCCCACCTGAGGGTCTGGTCAAGCAGACATGGGGGTCTATCCAGCCCTTGTTCGTCTAAATTCAGTCTCAGAATCAGTAAAGATGCCAGGCGTCTTCAGAGCAACCAAGTGAGTTGCCCGAAGCCTATTTAGCACCCTTAGACCACCTGCCATTGATGCCATGGCCAGGCAGTGCCTCACCCCCACAGGACCATTGCTGTTCCCTCTTCTAAATCCCCTGATCCAGTACCCTCTTTTGTGCCCATCTCAGGAGGAGCCAGAAGGTTGTCTGTCTGGCAGGCTCTGTGTTCACAGAGGCAGGCCAAAAGGGCCCCACCTCACTATTCCTAGTTCAGTGGGAATTTATGTTCACCACAGGAAATTGCCAGGTTGGTTCAGCCATGAGCTATGTGAGGCCAGCTCCCTGTTCCACCCATACCCCCAAACCTGACACTGCTCCCTTGGGAGGGCTCAGTCAGAGACTATAGCTAGCCTCCCTCCCAATCCTTCACTTGGCCATAGCCAACCAATGGTGGTCAGTCCTGGGCTTGCCTGATGAAGCACATTTTGGACAAATCCATTGAGGCTGCCCCATCTCATGAGAAGGGTCTGGAGGAGAAAAGGATGGAACAGCTCTCCGTGAATGAGCAGGTCACCAAAGCATATCTGACAAAACACCTGGGAGCTTTCCTGGGATCCCAAGAAAGTCACTGTCCTCAATCTCCTGGCTAGCAGCTATCTTCTGCCCTCTACCTAAAAGTCAAGGCCCCAGCTAGCCTTGGAGATAAATACTTTGTAACAGCTCAAGAGGTCAGACTGCAGTTCTGTTTTGGTGATCAGCAGATTAATGTTTCACTGTTTCCCTGCCATTATGGCTGGGTCAGGTCCCCAAGTAATGGAATGAAGGCAGTATCTCACATCTCACTAAGTGACACGGAAGATGCTCCAGTGACCAGAACAAAGGCACTGCCCATCCTCACTGGGCAAAGCATCAGACCTGGTCTAGTCCACAACAGGCCAAAGACTCCCTCCTGAGACCTACAAGGTTCATGTACAGACACGGTCATGTTAATGGAAAGAGCACAGCTTCAGAGTCAGAAGTCAATCTGAATTCTGGCACTGCCACTTCCAGCTTGTGCCTTTAGGCAAGTTATTAAACAACTCCAACCTTCAGCTTCCTCTTGCAACACGGGGATAGTAATTTCTTACAGGGCTCCGTGAGGATTAAATTATGCCACCCTTTAAGTAACATGCCTAGTACATGCCTTAAGGTCAAATGTCTAGCACAGGTCTGGGCCCACAAGACGTACTGAAGGCAGCTTTTCACTAACAACATTAAAAAGGTTCTAGGTAACACCTTTGGGTCTGTGTTAAATGCCTTAAGAGCATTGTGTGTATGCATGCTAAGTCAATTCAGTCAAGTCTGACTTTGTGACCCTTTGGGCTGTAGCCTGCCAGGCTCCTCTGTCCATGGGATTCTCCAGCCAAGACTACTGGAGTGGGTTGCCATGCCCTTCTCCAGGTGATCTCGACCCTGGGATGGAACCTACATCTCTTACATCTCCTGCATTGGCAGGAGGGTTCTTTACCACTAGCGCCACCTAAGGACATTTTAAAAGTCCCTTCCAAGGAACCAGAGGGGAGAGAGCTCTGGGTAGAAAACCCTGAACAAAGTCCCAGTACTGCTGTTTACTGGTCTCTTAACCTTATACAAGTCACTCTGGGCCTTGGTTACCATATCTGGAAAATGGAGATAACACAACCTCCCAGCCATCTTGGCAAAGGAGAGGACAAGTGTAAGAGCTATATAAAACACCACACACAAGGCAATCATAGAGAATGTAACTTCCTTTAACACATTCTAGGCAGCTGAAATATTGGAAATACCAGATGCTCATTATTTCCATCTAGGGCTCTAGGGCCCATTTCTCATCAATTATCTCTAATTCTTAGAGATAGCAAACAGGTTGTTAAAAGAAGGTAAGGGCCACAATTATGCTCTGGAAGGCTCTGCTCTGCACAATGAAGAAAAAGGTAATGCGAAGAAAACCAGGCAGAGGATGCCAGCTTTTTTTCTGAGCACAGGCTTACATCTCATTTGCTGCTCCTGGCCAGAGAACTGGGCTGACAAGAAGAGCAGCCAGCCAGGTCAGCGGCTGCCCTCCCGGATCCCTGCCACCCCAGCGCCCCACGGTTATTTTTGGCTGACGCTGCCCCACCACTGCAACCTCAAACCTGCCACCTTGCAAGCCGCCACCACCGGGTGAAACGCTCCTCCTTTTCAAGGGCATGGAGGAGGGAAGCTGGAAGGCTGCCAACTCAGCTTCGACGGAGCCCTGGCTCAGGCGATTCCCACCCCAGCTCCACACCAGGACACCCGCACCCGGAACTAAAGCACAGAGACTCCCGGAGCGAGGAGCAGCCCGGGCATTTGTCCTGTCAGCTTGGCCTGGCCCCTCCTCAGGGCTGGAGCGGATCCATCATCACAACAAAACAAGCAGGGGGCCTGCGGCCCTCGCTCGCGTCCCTTCCTGACGCTCGGGTCCCAGAGATCTCAGAGCCCCGTCCCCCGTAACCGCCAACAGTGGAGGCGAGGGGAGACCTGGGGTGGGCGGGTGGGGGGCGGGGGAGGCAGGCCAGCTTGGGCTGGAATCAAACTCCAAGCCGCGCGGGGAAGAGGTGTCTGCGAACTAAGCCTCGAGCCAGGGGGAGGGGAGGGTCTGAAAGCCCCTCCAGGGTATCCCAGGTAGGGCCCCGACCCCATTCCGTGGGCAGGCTGCAGGGCCAAAACTGGATGGATCCCAGCAGGGGCCTCAGAGGCCTCTTCTGCTCGGACGCCGACACGCGGGAGCGAGCGGTCGGGGTCTGTGGTGATCGCTCTCTGGGGAAGAAGCGGCGGGTCAGGGGTGAGAGGTCGGGGCCGCGGCCTGAGATGGGCAGAGAAGAAAACGAAAGGGAGAAGCCCGAGACCGAACCAACAGCCCCGGGACCCACACCTAGCGCGCCCTCCCCGTCGACTCACCGCCCGCCACTGCTCTCGTCACGGGCCCGGGCCCCACACTCACGGTCTCCCAGGCTCAGGCTGCTGCTAGGCCCCACTCCCCGCTCCGAGCGCCTCTTCCGCTTCCGGCTCCGGCCTCCGCCCGTGGCAGCCCCGCCCCTCGCGTGACGCAGCCGTCCTCAGCCCGGGGCTAGACCTGGCTCTGCCCCCGGCCCCGGCCGCTCTAACCCCCGACTCGAAGGCTCTGGAGGACCTGTCTTCTCTGTACGGCTCCGTAGGGCAGCTACAGAACCTGGTTCCTGTAGGGTCGAGGGGAAGTCCTTGACCGCGGTCCGCCCTCCCGCCGTGTCGCGTCGCACGTAGGCCCTAAAGACGCGACGGGGGCTCGTCCCGCGGCGGACTGCGCCGAGAGCCAAAAGGTGGAGCCCCAACCCCGCCCGAGCCCGTCTGTCCCTTCCTGCGCGCCGGGAGGCGGGCATTGTTTCGCTGTAGCCTCCGTGAAAACCAGGCGGGGCTTGAGCGCAAGGCCTGGCTCCGGGGCCCAGGAGTGCGGTAAAGATCACGGAGACTCGAGCAGACGGTCCCAACTACCGGTTATGTGGAAGAAACAAATGAGACCTTATTCTTTGTGCAGGTTTTTTATTTTCTTTAAGCCGTGGCGGCACACCCAAGTCCCATTGTAGGTGCACAGCAGTTTGAGCCGATACCGAACAGTCTTGTATGCGGGGTCTCTGATGGGACGGGGTCTGGAAGAAAGGGGGTGGTGGTGTGTGTGTCCTTTTCCTAGAGCATCCTTGCAGGATGGCAGTAAGCGGACCAGCATTGTTTCTCAGTTCATAAGCCCCCACCAAAGAAAAGCCCTTAGCCCCGCCGCGGCCAGACTGGGCTGCAATTTCTCTCCGAGTCACTCGGTGAACCTCGCTCCCGCGGCTCACCAAAGCCCCGCCCACCTACAGTTCCGCTCTCGGCCAGGGCGGGTTAACGAGGCCCTGTTTTCCAGATGACAAAAGTGAGGTCGAGTGTTTTGGGTCTGTGAGCGTGCACTCCCCGCCCCTGGGCTCTCGCTGGCGTCGCTAAGCGAAGCGGCCTCTAATTGTCACCGCGCCACGCCAGGGACACAGCATCCCTCCAGACCCCGCCCCTCCCCTGGAGACCACAGCGGAAACCCGGTACCCGCCAGCCCTCTCCCTGGCCCGGTCCCGGTCCCGCCCCAGTGAGAGCTGGGCACGCCCCTGACGCGAGGCGCTGCCTCCCCGCCAACCTAGCTCGGTAGGAGCGGAGCCGCCCCCTCGGAGTTACGAAGCTCTCCAGTGTCTAACCTCTGGCTCTTCTTTAAACTGGCGTCTGGTGGCGTGGCTTGAGCGAGGGCTTAGTACCCCAAAAATCTCCACTAGTTCCACCATCCCTACT